GACCATCAGTGCTCTGGGTCTCCAAGGCAGCATCTTCCGCCTCCCACCAGCCGCGAGTCTCTCCTTGTTCCCTTTTCCTTTCCCTAACACAACCTCTCCCCTAAATAGCTTCAGCACTATCTGCTGCAATGTTCATACAAAACTCCTCAAGTCTTCTGAGAACAGATGTGATCTCACCCCGCCCAACTACATTCTGGGTTTCCCTGTCGGGAGATACACATTTTTTCATTCAGCCAGTACCTCAAGTTGAGGTGAATCTCAACTCTTTCCCCTCCAGACTGTCACCCCCTTCCCCAGGACGGAGCTGGACCACAAGAATGAAGTGACAGAAGTTTCACCAGCTCTTCTAGCTGAGCTCTACGGCACTCAGCCCAGCACTGGAGGCCACAGCAGCCTGGCAGAGGAAGCACGGTCACTCAGCAGCAGAAAAGCAGCACAAGGATTCCTCTCCCCTTTGATCTTTAACCCACCCTTGCCAGCTCAATATGCCATCCCCCAAGCTTCTGGCAGACCCCCTCCACGTCCTCCCAGACCTGAGAAGAAAGCACTGAGAGGCACTGGCACCCGCTGAGTGCTGCACACACAGTCAGTAGGCGAGCAGATGCCTGGCTGCCAAAGTTGCCAGGGAGATGTGCTTCCTCCGGAGCTGCACATGATCCCTGAGCTGCTGCTGAGGGCCGGGGTCCTTGGGGTCAGAGCAGGGCCCAGCACACAGAACACCTTCCAAGGGAGCCGCTTCCTGTGAGCAGCGCATTTGGGTGTGAAAGAGAGGTCCGACAGCTTTGCAGGGAGCGTGCTTCCGCGCCAGCACCCAGGCCCTGGTGACCACGGTGCACTTTGCTTTTCCCAGCCCAGACCCATGGAGGGCTTAGAACATGGCTCCCTCTGCCCAGCAGTAGAGTTTATTGCCTCTGTGCTCCCAAGCATGCACCAGTTTCTGAACCAGATCCGAACCCAAAACAAGGTGTTGCCTGTGATTTAGGAAGGCCGTCATGCTTCAGGGCCCATATCTAAGGGCTCTCTGCTGGGAGAGCTCCAAGGCACTGAGCAGCAGCAGCTGCCCAAGGCTGTGTGTGGAGAGGCCCTCGATACAGCAACCAGCAGGACTGAGACCATGCAGGAGCTCTATTAGTCTCCTGTTACTCACGGAGATCCTTGGGGAAATGCTTTATTTAGTCAGGTGGTTCTGAAAAGCACTGAAACATCCAGCCAGGCTTTGCTGCATGTGTAGCACGTGCCTGGGAGGTGTGTGCTCTGTTCTTTTGGGCATGGCTGAGCCCATGACAATGCTTTAGCCTCAGAGGGGACATGAGGAGCTGCACTGTCCTGAGGACCTGCCATCTCGGGTCTACACACATCCAAAATCCCTCATACCAGTGAACCAGGAGCAGAGAGCGACCAGAAGAATGCAAGGGGGGAAAAGCCTTCTGCAGCTCAGTGATCGCTCCCCATCTGCAGGAGCTCAAGGCAAGAAGGAAACAAGATTTTGCTCCTCTGCGAACCTAAGGAAGTGTGATTTTCTGAAGGTGGTGAGAAGCAGTTTCAGACAGCTCTAATTAGCAGGGCAGCATGTGAGAAAATCCAACTTTCTTGCTCCCAGCTCCACAGCTGTCCTGGGATAAAGGCAGAGCCCCACTGCAGCCCGCACCCCTCCCATGCACCTGCCTGGCTGCAGCACGTGGGATGAATTGCAGAAGAGCAGAGAGGGGTGTTTTTGCATGAGCTGCTTGCCAAAAATTTGCCAGCACTGGTTCAGGCAGCAACACCTACACCATAATCCAGAAGGCTGTATTTTCCCGCGGGCATTTAAAATCAGTCCTCCCTCCTGTCCTCATAGCCCAGCTCCAGCAGTCAGCATATTCCCTGCCAGCAGCACACAGTGCCCAAGTGCAGTGCCGCAGCCCCAGCACTGTCCTGCCTCAGAACCCAGTGCTCAGGGTCTCATCTCACACACAGCACCTGCTGCTGCAACAACAGGTTTGCCTGCAAATCCTCCCAGGGATCTGCCCCCACCAGATTACTGCTCAGCCTAAGCCACCTAATCCTACAGCACATTGTGCACTTCTCCTGGAACACTACATTGAGGTGCTCCAGCAGAGGTACAAGTACTAAGTCTACTTTGCAGCTTGCTGCATGTGGAAGCAGAGAGACATCTGTTCCCCTGTGAAACCAGAAGTCAGGGGCCAAAGATGTTACATCCCCACTAGCAAGGGCTCCTCCTGTATATGGGATATTTTCTTTGCACAGTTCATGTTCGCAGAAGTTCATGTCCAGGAAAAGGCAAATGGTGACACAAGAGACTCTTGACGACCAGAAGGGTGAGGACCACAACCTCCCTTGCACACCAAAGTCAGCATGGTCCTAGCACGGATGTTGTGCTGCACAGCCATGCACTGGAAGAAGCACTGTGCCTTGCAGCTACATCTTCCTCCTCGATCTGTGCATGTAGGCGCAGAGGAAATAAGAGACCATCCAAAATTAAGGAGCTAAAAGATGTGAAGAAAAGAGACAGGAGGAGAAGTGATAACAGGAATCATTACATAAGAGCATGAAAAACACAATAACACTGCCAGTGCAGGAGAGGTTTTAAGATGCCCATGAGGGTGGTGAGACCCAAGCCATTCCCCATGTGCCAGGGAGCACAAACACTCCTTCATCTACAGCTCTGCAGAGGGGCAAAGGCTGCAGACCTCTGGATTTCACAGGCAGGGAAGCTCCAGCCTCTGAAGTGCCCAGTACTGGGCCCAGCAGTTCCCCTTCCCAGACCTCAGCACGGTATGGGCAGTATGACACCGTCCAGCTGAGACCCCCCCCCAAGTGCCTCCCGGAACTTGGCACACATTTTCCCTCTCCACCTCCTGCACCCCGAGCAATGCCCCCCTCGCCTTCAGACTCCCTTATTATCCTGCAGGGCTTCACCCGTCCCTGCAGCATGCTGTGCAGGCAACAGCCTGGCCCTGGGAGAGAGCCATGGATGCTCTGACTGCAGGCCTGACCCTGCGGCACACGCGGTCCTCAGCAGGCAGGAGAGCAGAGGACACACAGCATCCCAGCCCATGAGAAGGGAATGAATCACTGAAAACAGAGCCAGGCACAGAGCCAGGAGGAAGATGACAGCCCTGCGAGGCCTCCGTCTTTAGGAGTGGGGGCTCGTGGTCAGAGCAGCACGGCCCAGCCCACCCTCTGCTCCATGGTGTTCTCGCAGCCCGCCGTCCCTCACAGGTCCCTGTGCCGGGACACGGCTCCTTGTCCAGCCCTGGAGCTGTCTGCCCCCATCTGCAGCGAGGATGGGAATCAGCCCCGTGTCTCTTTGGATCCCTGCCCCACCGGAACCCAAGGAGCAAGAAAGCAGACCGTGCCCTGGTTTCCCAGTCTGTGCACCTTTCAGCTACTAAGATGCCACAAATCAGAAGATCCTGCCAGGAATGTCACCTTCAGAACCTGCCTCCCAGTGCCCCGGCTGAACCTTCATGCTGCAGGAACCACAAGTTCAGTGCGCTGAGGCTCCCATCTAAGCCTCATCACTTAACAAACCACAGCTATGACAGCTCCCAACCACCAGCTTTTTTTTTTTTTTCCTTTTGCATCTGCCATACAGCTCTGCTGAGGCAGCACTGCTGACAACCTGCAGCATCCCTCAGCCCGTCGGAAACACAAAAACAAAGCATCAGCTCCAGGAGGGTGTCACGGGCAGAACGACATCCCCTCACTTGTTGTTACATCAGCCCACACGTTAGCGCTTTGGGCCTGATCCAGAAAGCCACAGAGCAGCCTCCGTTCCTCTTAAAGTCATACCCCGCTGCTCAGAGATACGCAAGTTTGCAATCCTTCCTGCTCAAAAAAAAAAAAAAAAAGCCATAGACCTTCTGCTATGCTTTCACCTCGTGCCAAAATCAAAATCTCAATAAATTTCTCTCCTTCTCTCACTTTTAACTCCATATTTCACCAAATCTTCAATGTCCACGATGGCCCACATACAGAGGTACATGAGATCAGTGCATCCTGAATTAGTTTTCTGATATGCAGTGCTAGCCCATTTTTTCAACAACGTATTATGGCAAGCCAGGTTTCACATTCTTTGTGATAACTAGAAAAAGAGACAGGTCCAGGCTTCAAAACACAGGGTCTGCTGTCAGCCATGGCCAAGTACTGCCCCAGGGACACCGATGTGAGAACACAACAACAACAACGCCACGCGCATATGTTCATTACAGAGCTAAGCATAACTACCGTGGCACATTGCCTCTAAGAAGGCAAAAGGCCAGTTAACCTGATGAGCAAGCACAGCGTTCTGTCATTGAGCACAGAACCTGGGGACAGGCCTTTACAGCCCCGCAGGCCACCAAACACGAGAGACTGGGGTTTGCTGCAGGCAGCACGGCGTGCCTCAAGGAGCTGCAGGTAACCCAGCCCTGCCTGGGTTGGTGACACAGGATCTGGGCACCGGAGCTTAACCAAGGACCGGCTTCACGTTTTTGTAAGCTCAGATCCCAACCCCGAGAAAATGCAGTCATTGTCTGCGGCCGGTCCCCCCCAACCCATCGCACCGCCAGAGGACAGCGGGGAAAGCCAGGCACAAAAGGAGGAACGCTCGCAGCCGCTCCTCCTCGAAACCATTTCATAACGGCACTCACAAAGGTGATGAAGGAGCGCTGCACGGCACACACAAAGCACAGAGCAGGTACGTTAAAGGCGCAAATCAAAACGCGCAAAACGAACAAAAGAAAAACGACTTCGGAAAACGAGACCCTCCTTTTGAGGGAGGCCAAACTTCCCGGCGCACCTGCGAAGGCAGCACCGCCGCAGGCCCCGCTCGGGGCTCGGCCCGGCTCCGCACCGGTCAACGCGGAGCGAACCGCACCGGGCAGCGCGGAGCGGAGCGCCGCCGCATCCCGCGCAGCGCCCGGGGCCGGGCCCGGCGACGGCAGCGCAGCCCCCCGCTCGGGCGGGGCCCGTCCCACCGCCCGGCCGCGAGCCCCGCCGCCCCGCCGCCCCCGTACCGCAGTCCGCGCAGAGGATCCGCGCCACGTCCCGCTTGAGGTTCTTGCCGCTGGTGTCGAGCGGGGCGAAGGCGGTGCGGAAGACGAGCGGCTCCTCCGTGGGCTCCAGGAAGAAGATGTAGCGGTGGTTGCGCTTCACTTTGAAGCAGGGCGCCTTGGAGCCCACGCTGATGAGCTGCTCTCGCTGCAGCCCGCCGCTGTTGAGGGGCCACAGGTCCAGCACTTTCACCAGGACCCCCCCGGCGGGGCCGGAGGCGCCGCGGCTGTCATTGCCGCCGCCTGCGGGGGGGGCCACGGACTGCACCTTGCCCTCCAGCACCACGGCCGCCGTGTACGCCTGGTCCTGCACCGACTTGAGGGTAGGCGAGTAGCAGGCGAGCGAGACGCCGAAGAGCAGCATG